ATATATATATATATATATATATATATATATATTGCTTGATGAAACAAAAACGATTTGAGATGACTAATTTAAAGTTCATGATTTATGACGTAAGCATTATTACTAAATCACGTTTTGTCTTACGAAGACATATTGCTATAATAATCCTCATAAGAATGACAGCTTGTTAGTTTTTGTGTTACTATGAAATTCATTAAATTACACCTCAATCTACATCTCCTCGGCTCGTAGTGTCCCCTACCCCAGCCGAAGTTTCTTTGCTTCACCTCAGAAGACACCTGAAATTTTCACATTGTTGCAACTTTACCATAATTGTTTTTTTCAATCTGGGCTAAATCCTTGGCCTTTAAATTTTGCATAAGAAAATGAAAATTGTTCAGTTTCTCATCTTGTGAATCTTATTCAAATAAATCTCGGTCACTTTTCCAAAATTTTTCCCCTACACTATTCATATGAAGATTAGCTAATACTGGTTCGGGCAACATGTCAATTGTCCGCGGTCGCTGGGTCTTGCAATTCTTCTTCATTTTTCCCTTTAATTTACTTGGAGAAGTGGCTTCCATTTTACGGATGGAAGAAATGATCTGCAAATTCAATGTTACGTTCTTTTGTCCCAAGAAAACTATAGGAACTGATGAGAAATTGATCTAAAAATTGTAAGGTGGTTGTCTTGACAATTAGGCGAAACTAAGTTGAATTTGATAGAAAGCTTAACAAGCAATATGTGGAGATAACAACGAAACTGCCAAAAAAAATTTTATTTTATGTTTCTACTCATTTTTTTTCTTAAACTGATGATTGAAACTGTAATTAACCATTTATCCACGAATGCAAGAGCAAGAAGAAAAGGATAAATTACTTATAACACTCCTGTAATTTTACATAATCTCAGATGACCCCTTTAATAGCTACATAACTTCCTATAGTTTTATGTAAAGTGAAAAATGAATGGAATGTGCAATCAATTACGGTGTTTATACCAAATGTGCTCCATAAGCGCATGTGATAAAATCTTAATCTCCATATAACCTCTTATAATTTGTATAAATATCCACTTTACTTCCTTATAATTTTTGTATTTATTCACGTAATTCTCCTATACTTTTATACAAGGTAATTAAGCCGTCAATTGATTTAACATTTAAATAAGGATACTATTGATATCTCAATTAACGATGTTACATAGGCTATTTTTTTGTCAAATTTTCACTTTACATAAAACTATAAGGGGTAAAATAGATATTTTAAAAAGTTAAGAGGATCATGTGGCAATAGATGGAAACCATAGAGGGATTATATGTAATTTATCCATAAAAAGGGAACTTATCAAGTAGCTGACTTTGTGCACCAAGGACAGTGGAATCAGATGTTGTTGAAGTTCGTTTCCAAATGGATACAGCCCACATCCAAATGGTACGCGCCCTCGCATGTGCCGAAATTGAATTCGGATGGTTGCTCTAAGGGTAATCCAGGTGACAGTGCAGGTGGTGGCTTTCTTCGTGATACAAATGGAAAGGCTATTTTTTCATATGCATGCAATTTTGGGGTTCTCACCACGTTGCAAGCAGAAGTAAAAGCTCCTTTTAAAGGGTTGCAACTATGTATTGCAAAGGATTCAATCAGATTCACCTAGAAGCTGACATGATTTGCTAGTTCTGGTTAGAAACTTTTTTGGCCAGTATAAAGTTCCCTGGAAAGTGTAGCGTGGTATCACTGAGTTGGTATCTCGTAAGCCTGATTTTGTCTCGGTCTCTCATTGCCCTCGAGAGGGTTGAAGTTGTCGAGTTCTTTGGCGAATTTTGGGTTGAAGTTGTCTTCAAATTTGGTTATTAGTAGCTTTCTTGGGAGGTAGGGGAAATGTCAATTTAGATAGGCTATGCCTTCCATCGATTAGAAATCTTATAGTGTTTTTGTAATAGGAAGCATGGCTTGCTTTTGCTTTATTTGGAGATAAGATATTAAGCCCCTTTTTCTGTATTTATTTTTAATATTTAATAAAATTTGGATTAACATCCACCCTGTAGGGGGTTTTCCCCAAAAAAAAAAAGAAGATATATGTCACTTTTATAAAAGACATAGTACTTTAACAAAAAATAAAATCTCTAGGTGGAAAGAGCAAATTGATTAAAGAGGTATTCTCAGGCTCACCATTTTTTTGCACTTTTTTTTTATTTTTAAAAACACTATCATTCCAGAAATTAACGCTCAATTAAGAACTTAAGAACATCCTACAACGATGTTTTCGAATAATTCCTAGACACATACTTACTTTGTGCTTTAAAATTAGTTATAGCTGCAAAAGAAAAAGAAAAAGAAAAAACATTGAGGGAATTCAAAGGAATCTTAAACTACAGTAGACTAAGGATAATTTACTACCTGTAAGACTTAACAATAATTAGGCCCGACAGAATTTATTTCGACATATTAATCTATTACTAATTTCCAGTGAATTGTCAAACTTTGCCTGTTTGTGTGTGCTGGTGACAGTGAGAGAGTGTGAGAAAGAGAGAGAGAGAGCCTATTGGTTGAGGTCAATGTTGTAAAAGTCAAAGGGGTGTCCCAGAGAAGAAGGGTCTTCAGAAAATTGATTCATTGACTTTTCTTCCGTCACTTGTTTTCAGAATCTAATGAGTTATTTTTGGACTTCACTTTTTTTTCTAGAAAATCAGAAAAATTAAGGAGCAATAACTATGGTCAATGAAATCTTCAAAATAACAGTAGACAGATTTTGTATTTCCAACTTCAATTGAAATCCGTAGTCTGATAGTTACCAAGTCCCGTGATTGATCTTGTGTGCTGTCTCACTGTGTATCTTTAAAACAAAAGTCTATACAGTCTTACAAAATTAGTTTGATCGAAAGACTGGAATATCCTAAAGCGAAAGAATGGAATACCTTAAAGTGAAAAAGAGAAACTTCACAAAGTCAAATTAATCTAGTCCAAGCTGTCCAGCTGGTTTTCTGAAATTAAATTCGTAGATAAGTCTTGCAGTTGACTTTTGAGCATTGTCAAAAGAACAAGTATTCAAAGCACTTGGGATTCTCGGTGACATGTTTTCTATGCCAACCCAATGCCACCAATAGTGTTACACCAAGTGCCATGTTATTATTTACGCTTTAATTTTCTAATAATTCAACTTGGCTTGGTTTAACACAAGTGTATTCAAAGACCCCCTAAAAAAAAAATCCTAAAGTTGGTCACAAATGTCATTCCTCCTGTCTAGTCAAGAACTCTAGATAGTTTTCTGAGATTAAATTGGTAGATAAGTCTCAAAATTGATTTATTATTAGGGTTAATTTCATAAACCTCTCCTAAGGTTTCTGATAATTTCATTAGTCTCCTCTAAAGTTTGTAAAATTACACAAACCTCCTCTGAGGTTAAGGTTTTGATAACAAAATTAGTCCAATTAAAAAAAGTAATATTAAAAAAGTACTTTAAGAAGAGAAATGAAACTTTTATTTCATAAATATCCTTTATGCATGTATATAAATTGTATTAGTAAAAGAATAAAAATAATTAATATACACATTTTACCACTCAACAAAGTGGACATTTAAAAAAATTAAACAACACAAATAAGCAACAAAACTACACTAATTATCATAAGATTTAATATAACAGACTAGTCATCTCTTTTGACATGATATTTGCTATGATTCTTGTGATTTTGGATAGACTAATTTTTCAAAATTTGCCTTTCTTTTCCCTCCATTCTTCTTTACTGCTAACAATTAAATAATTAGAGCACTAATTAACTATTAGTAACTAATTAATGAAAATAACTGTTAAAAATTTCTTTAATGATGAACGATGACTTGTATTTACAAAATAACACACACACACAGATCAAACACATTTTCTTTTGTTCTTAGGCCTGTTCTTATTTTCTTAACCAAGTTTTCGAAAAGGGTTTATCCCGGATAGATGATCTAAAATGTGCAAAAGCAGCAATAAATTGTCCTGCATTAATCCAAGAAAAGGTTTTTAAGAGTCTTTCCTAGTTACACGATTAAGCTCACAACTCCAACGAAAGTAAGGAATGGATCTTGTATGCCATAATTAAAAAAAAAAACTTATTTGTCATAGTAAAAAAAATCAAGCGTCAATCAGAAAACGAAGCCATGTGATTATTCAGCCTCAAGGAAAAAAAGGGGGGAGAGAGTAATTCTTGTGTATAAACTAGAAGAAACTCAAGAAATCTTCTTGGATGCAAATACCGACGAACACCTAAACTTCTAGAACAACACTCTTTTTCTGTTTACTATAAGGATTAAAAACATCGATCCAAGTTGATAATATGAACTTACACACACTTATAATGATCACCAACATAGCCAATGATTTGAACGTACAAAACAATAACATACACTACAGTGAAGGCCACCATCAGCCCGTAATCATTTAGCTACCACCTCCATCTGGTTTGATCTTGAGCTTGTGCTTAATATTTTTTACACAAGAAGAGATAGCTTCACTAATCCTTTCTCCCACCATTTGGGACACATGTTTCCTCTCTTTAGGAAACATACCTTCAAGCTTCTTCGTCGATGATGATCCGGTGCTTGCCTCTCCTCCTTTAACATTCGTTCCCTTGTCCGCCATCTCAAAGTTTGTGTGTGCAGCGTGCGTGTTAAGTATTTGGCTTTTCTGAATGACCTGAAAGGTTTGTGTTGTGTCTCAAAAGATTGAGATGATGGTTCTTCTATATATAGTGCATGGAAAAGATTGAAATGAAGGTTTTATTCAAAAGAATCAAGGTGTTGTTTCTGAAGCTGAAAGTTTTGTGTTGTGTCTCAAAAGATTGAATGATGGTTCTATTTATACTGCATGGAGAAGAGGCAGAGAATGAAATGAGGTTATTTTCCAAAAAGAAAAAAAAAAAAGGGAATGTTTGGTCTTTGAATATGAGAGTATTCAGAAAGATCACTTAGATGCTTTTTTTCTCTCTCTTCGCCACCCTTTCTCTCATCTGCTCTAGTAAATCATTTCTTTCTCATCCATGGCAGCCCTTCAGCCGTCGGCTGAGGGGCAAGCATTTTCTCCTACAACAAAAAAATCTTTCTCTCAGCTCTTCTCACAGCCAGCAACATCTCCAATTCAACTTCGACAGGCTTCTGTTTATAAGGGTGAAGCTGCGGTTGTTTTTTCCAGAGTAGATGCGGACAGACTTGCGGCACCATTCAGATGGACTTTGGTTGGCAAATTCTCTCACGGACGACCTTCTTTGGAAGATATTCGAAAGTTTTTTGCCTCTTTGAACTTGAAAGATCAAGTTTCCATTGGATTGTTGGATTATAGGCATGTCCTTATTAAATGCTCAGCTGAAGTAGACTTTAACAGAGTTTGGTCGAGAGGAACTTGGCAATTGGGCAAATATCCAATGCGTGTGTTTCGATGGACCAGGGAATTTCATGTGCATAAAGAATCATCTCTAGTACCGGTATGGGGTGGCGGAAGTGGCTGCTGATATTGCGAAAGATACGGCTGCGAATGCAACTGCTGCAACTGGGAGCGAAAATGCAGTAAATATTTCTGATTCTCATGAAGTGCGAACTACTGCTACGGTTCAAAAAGGAAAAAATATCTTAGCAGCAAAAACCACTATTGCTGGGTCTGCCGTGCAAGTGGAGGAAGGGGAAGTAAATGTTCTGCAACATTGTGCTATTCATGATGATCATGCGGTTGAAGCAACCAATAACCAAACCGCTGATGCTAACGAAAAAACAGAAATAAGTAACATGATGAGTTCAACATTGCATAGGGGACAAAGAGAAATGGACTTCCAACTGGATAATCATCATGGTCTTCAACTTGAAGGGTCCCATTCCCACATTGTGAAGCCTTTTAACACCGAACCAGCGCATGTGGACAGTCATCAAAATGAAGGGTCCCATTTTCCCATTGAAAATCCTCTTAACACCGAACCAGAACATTTGACCGACAATGGTTCAAACTGTAAAGATAATCTGACCCACAACAATGTGATGGGTGAACATCACTTGCTAGCTGACAATGACAATGCTAATCATGAACTGATGGCCGACATTTCTGTTTCGGAGAATCTCTATGTTGATTTGCGAGGAGGAAAGGATTCTACACACCAAGAGGTTTTGGAGCAGTCTGCTGGTGATGTGGATAAACAGGAGAACCTTGTTGAAGAGGGATTATTGGATGGTGGGTTTGCATCCCTATCAGAGGGGGAGGCTGACGATGGCGATAGATTCTATAGTGGGAAGACACAGGAGCGCATGGGCTCCTCTGGGGTTGTAGATATTTTTAACCTTGACCCAATTATTCAACAGGTTAGTGACAAGCTCCAGCATGGGGAAGAATTCCAGTTGGTTAAGTATGGCAAGAAGAGAGGAAAGCTACCTCAAATTTCGTCGAATAGGTCGCTGCGATCGAAAGCTAAGGCAACCTCGAACTCTTTCTCTGCTGTAAATCAATGATTAAGTTCCTTTTCTGGAATATCAGGGGTGTGTCCCGTGCCCCAAATTTTCGTAGATTGAGATTTTTAGTTAATCTTCATGAGATTCAATTGGTTGCTATCTGTGAACCGAAAGTCCAAGCAGTGGATATTCATTCGATTAGGATGCGTCTTCACATGGATCAAGCCATCTGTAATAGTAGGGGGGATATTTGGGTTCTTTACAAATCCTCTATCTTGTGTAGCTTGGTTGGAGAATCGAGTCAACACATGTCTCTATATCTTAGCTCTTTGTTATTTGAGAGACCTATTACCTTCTCAGTTACTCATGCAAAGTGCACATACACTGAACGGCTAGAATTGTGGTCTAGTCTCCTAGTGGACAACCCGGATCAATCCCCTTGGTTGATTGTGGGGGATTTCAACGTCATCGTGTCGGCGGAGGAGAAAAGGGGAGGGTTGCCTTTTAGACCAGCAGAGGGTTGGGATTTTTTAGATTTTATGTCTCAGGCAGGGGTTTTTGATGTGGGGTACTCGGGCTCTTGCTTCACATGGTGCAATAACAGGCATGGTCGGGCGCGTATCTGGAAGCGATTAGATAGGTTGCTAATGAATCAAGTTGCTTCTAATTTCGCTCTGGATTTTAGCATTCGCCATTTATCTAGGGATCCTTCGGATCATGCGCCATTATTATTATCGGCTACGACAAAACTAGACAACAAGCCGAGGCCATTCCGTTTCTTAAATTTTTGGGCATCTAAGCCTGGGTTTTTGGATGTGGTCCGATGCAACTGGAACGTGGCTTTCTCGGGGCCTCCGTTAATGGTCCTTGCTGCTAAGCTTCGAAGTGTCAAGATGGCGTTACGTGCCTGGTCTCGGGAGGTTTTCGGAGATATCTTTGGCTCGGTACGGGTGGCAGAGGACATGGCCCTCAACGCTGAGTTGAGCTATGACACTGATCCATCGGAAGACAAGCTTGTAGCATTACAGAAGGCTCGGGCTCATCTTCGGCGGTCACAAGGGGTGGAGCATATGTTTTGGCAACAAAAATCAAGGGTCAAATGGTTGAAGGATGGAGATCGAAATTCGAGATATTTCCATGCAGTGGTGGCAGAGCGCCACCAACGGTCGGTAATCCATCGGATTAAATCATCCACTGGGGATTGGCTGGAGTCTGCGGATGCCATTGAGAGTGAAGCCGAATCCTTTTTTAAACGGTTATTTACGGCAGAGTCCCCTAGTGCATCCTTTAATGCTCTTGACGTTATACCGAAATTGCTGACGGACCAGGATAATGACATGCTAGACGAGATCCCTTCTAAGGAAGAAGTTAAGTCAGTGATTTTTGCAATGGATGGTGGGAGTGCGGCTGGGCCGGATGGGTTCTCGGGTAGGTTTTTTACGTGTGCATGGGACATTGTGGCAGAGGATGTCCATGCGGCTGTGGTTAGTTTCTTCTGTGGAGAGGTACTGCCTAGGAGTATATCTTCCACTTCAATAGTGCTGGTTCCGAAGGTCCAGTCTCCGCAGGATTTTACCCAATTCCGTCCGATTAGCTTGTGTAACTTTATCAATAAGGTGATATCCAAGGTCTTGTCGGACAGATTAGCATGGATCTTGCCGAAGATTATTTCCCCTCAGCAGAGTGGCTTTGTGAAAGGTAGGCATATCTCTGATAATTTTCTGTTGGCTCAGGAGCTTATATCTGGTATTCGTCGCTCTAATAGGGGAGGGAATGTGGTGTTAAAGTTGGACATGGCCAAGGCTTACGACCGCATTTCATGGGTTTTCTTGTTACAAGTACTGCGTCGATTTGGTTTCACGGAGAGGTGGATTGATATGATTTGGCGATTAATCTCCAATGTTTGGTTTTCGGTTCTGGTCAACGGCTCTCCTTGTGGCTTTTTCCAATCTACTAGGGGGCTCCGACAAGGTGACCCCATTTCACCGGCTCTTTTTGTTATTGGGGCAGAGGTCCTGTCTAGGTTGCTTAACTCTTTGGTTGGCCAGCGTGGATTCCTGCCGTTTAAGATTCCTTCCACATGTCCTGTCATTACACATCTAGCTTTTGCAGATGACGTAATTATTTTTTGTAGCGGGGTTAAGAGTACTTTGCGGCATGTTATGAGGGTTTTGGGGTTGTATTGTAGTACGTCTGGGCAGCAGGTAAATTGTCTGAAGAGTTGCTTTGTTACTCATGATAAGTTGAGCCCTGCTCGTCGACGAGCGGTGTCACAAGTTTCTGGTTTTCAGGCCAAGTCCCTCCCACTTAAGTATCTTGGATGCACTCTCTATTCCGGAAGACGGAGATGTAGCTACTTCTTGGACATCTGCTCCTCAGTTGCAAAGCGGGTTCTATCGTGGAAGGAAAAGTTATTGTCGCCTGGTGGGCGTTTGGTTTTAATCAGGAGTGTTTTGTCGTCGTTGCCTCTGCACATCCTTGCTGTCACGGATCCTCCAAAGGGTGTGCTTCATACCCTCGAGAAGGTTTTTGCAAATTTCCTTTGGGGAAGGTCTGAGGGGGGTAATCGCTACCATTGGATTAGATGGGAGACTATGTGCAAACCGCTTGATGAAGGGGGGATTGGTGTGCGGTCCCTGGCGGATGTGTTGGAGACATTTTCAGTGAAGCTATGGTGGTCCTTCAGGCAATGTTTATCCCTCTGGGCGAAATTTATGCACGATAAATACCTCCAAGGCGGTCATGTGTGTGAAGCGGAACTTCAGCGCTTTCAATCTCCCACCTGGAGGAGGCTAGTCAGGTGCCAGGCTCTGGCAGATTCCCATATCCGGTGGGTGTTGCAGAATGGAATGGTCGACTTTTGGCATGAGAATTGGATGGGTGAAGGGTCGTTGTGTCAACAGGTTGAGAATTTTGGTGATCACGCCGTAGCGGACTTCGTGTTGAATGGGAGCTGGAACGTTTCGATGCTTCATCAATGGCTACCTGATAGCATTGTTTCTACGATTATGCAAATACGCCCTCCTGATATTTTTTCTACAACCCCAGATAGGATGGTGTGGGACTTGGAGACAACTGGTTCCTTCTCCTTCTCATCTGCATATAATTTGGTCCGACAGGAATCCAACATTTCCATCTTCTCCTCTAATATTTGGTTGTCAGCTTTGCCTGTAAAAATCTCTTTTTTTTATGATTAGGATGTTATCGGGCCGCCTGCCTGTGATGGAATCGCTGCAGAGGCGGGGTGTCTGCGGTCCATCTCGGTGTTCTTGCTGTGTCAACCCAGCGGTGGAGTCAGTTGATCATGTCTTGTGTGTTGGAGATGTCCCACGGTGGGTATGGAATTCTTTTCAGGTAGAGGCAGGAGACTTTGCACATGTCTCAACGGTAAAACATGCAGTCATTCAATGGTGGATGCGCCCGGCTAAGAACAAGTTGATGAAATTGTTGTATCAGATATTGCCTTCGCTTATTTGTTGGCATCTCTGGAAGGCTAGAAATGTGGCGGTGTGGGAAGGAAAGGTGTTGTCAGCGATACAGGTACATGGCTTTATTCTTTCGGATCTCTGTGATATTCTTCAGATGCACTTTAAGGATATGGGGGTGGGACGTTATTCGTGGCATCGACTACACATTTCGCTGATGGGGTGGAAGAAGGAAATGAGGGTCACTTTAGTCAGGTGGCTGCCTCCGGCTTCTACCCTCCTAAAACTGAACACTGATGGGTGCTCCTTAGGGAATCCGGGGAGGAGTGGAGGTGGTGGGATTTTGCGAGATAGTGCAGGTTTTTTCAGACTTGGTTTTGCGGGTTATTGGGGAGAGACGACGAGCCTACATTCAGAATTGAAGGCCTTGTTATTTGGGATTAAGTTGTGTGTCACGCAAGGCTTTTGTTGCTTGCACCTGGAGTCTGATTCCATTCTTTTAGTCCAAATGGTCACAGGGGTTGGTAGATGCCCATGGGCCTTGCAACGAGAGCTGGACGAGTTGCTTGCCTTTCGGAATGCTTTTCAAGCTGTCTCCCACTGTTATCGCCAAGCGAATGTGCCAGCAGATCGGCTTTCTAAGATTGGGACAGATACCCGCTCTACTGTTATCTATAACTCGTTTGCGCAATTGCCACGTTTGGTTCGAGGAGACCTTAGGTTGGATAGGCTTGGCTATCCTAACTTCCGTGCTTCTTGAGCGCGGGCGTGCTTGTGTTTAGTGATGTTTCCATGTACTCGTTCAGCAAAATGGGGGGAAAAGGGGAGGATAGGTCAAGTCTTTTGTTCATGGCCATGCTGCAAATCTTGTAACTTTTATGATTCTGTTTGAATAATAACGATGAGGGCTGTCCTCTTTAAAAAAAAAAAAAAAAAGAATATGAGAGTATTAAGAACGCGTAACAATAATGTAATCCATATTTGCCTATTGTTTGGTAACATACTTATAAGAATCACTCTATGGTAATGACATTGTTAGAGTTTCTTTCCATCATTCTCCACTTATAATTTAAATCTGTTAAAATTTTCCCCCATCATTCTTTAACTTACAACCTATTCAGATTGATTGACTCATTAATATAATGAAAGTCATTATGATTCGAGATTAAACATGCAAATGGAATTGATGAAAACTTGTATGGACAATGAAGTTTATGATTTCATTCCGTATCCCATTCTTGAATGCGGTCCAAACAGCTCTTAAGTGCGTGAAGTGAAATGACTCTTGTCTTAGTTTACCATTCATTCTTTAGTTCTTTTTTCCCTCTGCACTTTAAACATCGATTTTCGCACTACAAATAGTCTGACCTTTATCTTTGACTGCATCAAGATATTTACGCATGTCAATGCTTCTAGTCTTAGTACTAGGTCTTACGACACAAATGATTGGGACGAATCGCCTTCTATCTCTAGAATTGTTAATAGACAATACCAGATTGTGTGGACTGCTTCATCTTCAAGAGAATTCACAACAAACACAGCTTGGACTATTGTGAGAACATGCAAACCAACGTTCAATGGACCAAACAGAATGGTCCACGGCATGCTTTTATTACCCTGGCAGCCAAGAAGGCTCTCAGTACTCGAAAGAGACTTGGACAATATATAGTTTGGTTCAAACAGAGTGGTCCACGCAACTTGTTTGCTTTGTGGGAATGAGAATGAAACTCTATCTCATATCTTCTTTAATTGCACTTACAGTTGGCAGAAAATATAACAAAAAGTAAAAGATAGTTTTCTTAAGAATTCTTAAAATTACTTTTGACACTTACCTTCACTAGTTTTTTTAAATAAAATGGCTAACCACAAGAATTTGAAACTTACGTGCACAAGACATGCAACAATTTTTGTAATAATAACTATAATAAATTTATATCATAAAACTAGAATTATCCTTTTCTTCCAATACTTTGTCTTTTATTTACTATTGGTATGTTTTGTTTATAAGCTTAGATGATAATATACCAATAAAAAAATAAAACATAAAGTATGCAAAATAAGAAAAAGAAGAAAAAAAATAAAAATATGATATATTGTTAGCATGAATAAATGGAATAAAACCAAAAAGATAAATAAAACATAAATTATGCAAAAGAAAAGAAACATTTGATGTATAATTAGCATGAATAACTAAAAAAATTAAAAAGAAAAAGAAAAAGGAGTTTAATTAGAATTCTTATTATCTATTCAGTACTAGTTCAATCTAATTTGCATCCCAATTCATACTAAAACACTTAATATCACTATTTAAAAATTAAAAAAATATAATGATTTAAAATCAAAATATTAGGGACCAAAAGCAAAAAATCAAAGTTGTTGACTAACGGCAATTTGATGTTGACAGTTAATCATCATTACATTTCTGTTAGTTGTCCTAAGTCTACCTAAAGTCACAAATTTTGAGGGCTAAATTTATTTTGGCTGAACTATTAGAATCCAATTTAGCACACAGGCCAAATATTGGAGACCAAAACAATAATTCTCCCTGATATATATATATATATATATATATATATATATATATATGCCAGAACCTCAATCTTAGTTGAGGACTGATGATTATGCAAAAGTGACACACCATTAAAGGAAGATATTTTGATGGGAATAAAACCCATAATATAATTCATTATTTGAAATAGCATCTAACCCATTGGAAATATTGCAAGTGGGAATAACTACCTTGCAATATAAATTAAAAAAATAAACACCCAACAAAGGAATTAAATACATACCTTCAAGAGAGGTGTGCAAGATTACACCCATAAAAAGGATGAAAAATACCATTGAGAAAAAGACAACCACCCGTGATATAAATTAATCACCTTTACATAAATTGGAAGGAGAAAAACTATCAAATTTAGAAACCCATGAAGGGAATTGAAAACCCATCAAAGGATAACCATTTTGGTATAGCATTCTAAGATGGTCAAATGCCTGAAAATAATAGGGAAAAATATAATCAATGGCATCAGATGTTGTTTCACTATTTGCTGATTTTCCTTAATCACTTCATGCCATTTAAGTGAAGTGATGGATAAATCTTGAACACAAGGCCAACACAAAAATAAATTTTAGAAAAGGGTGTTGTCATTCATGGTAATCCTCTGTCATTGACATTGTTGAAAATTTATATAGAAGTTGCACTATAAGCATAATGGATGCAAAAGATAAAATTCTATTAAACTAAAAATCAAATTACAAGATAAAATTCTATCAAACTAGAATTCAAATTACAAATCAAATAACTTCATACAACAACTTATCAGATAAGATGTTGTTAAAATTAAAATAAAAGAAGTAATTAATCTTCACTACAAGAGAAAAACGGACAGTACTCTTTCGTGAACTTGATGCAATCAAGATGGGATTGGAACAAGCCATGGAAATTTCAGGTAACAAGATTGAACTCAAAAGTGATTTTGAAGTCAAATGTCAAAGTTCCACAGAAAGTAATGCCCTTGCTGCGTGAGATCAAGAAGTTAGCTACCTCTTTTGTTAATATAATTTTTGCTTTTGTATATAGGGAATCTAATAGCGCTGCAGATTGCCTTGCAAGAAAGCTAGATTCTGCAGGTTTTGAAGTGCTCAATAGTAATTATCCCATAGAGTTAGTAAAAATTTTGAATGATGATAGGAAGGAAACTCTGACTCGTAGAGGGAGTTAGAATCGCTCTCGAGAACTCGTATATATATATATTTACTGGGTACTTACCTACTTTTGAATTACATTAAAGCTTACCATTTCCCGAGAAAAAGTCTTACTGCATAATTACTTAGTTGATTAAAAGAATCTTAAAGTTGCGGTCTACTCTTTTCTGTACGTACTAAACATATGATAATTAAGCATGTCATGATGGGTTGTAATTATGTAATCATTATTAAACTTACAATATACAAAAGTCAGGGGATGTTTCACACAGTTTGATTAGTTAGTTAACCAACACGTGAAGTGCAGACAAAGAGAGTTGCATTGACCCATGTCCCCTTGATAGGTCATAATTTATTGCTAAATTTATAATTATTCTCCCCTTGATTTTAGTCAAATATTATTTTAATTGATAGATTCTACTTATATTTGATTAATGATGCTAATTGTAGGAAAATGAGTAAAATGTGATAAAAGGTGTAATTTTCCAAGAATTACTGTCAAGTCTAGTGACGACAGGATTCACGCATGGCAGTTTCCTAATTCAAGCCGAAAACTTATGAAGCATGTTTCCAAATACAGTTGAGAAACATCTTAAATTATTAGGAAATATCTTCTTTTTAGAAAAATGAGCACGTTCAATGTATTTTGAAAACTAGAAAATAGGAAAATAAATGGCCGGCTCCCGTTTGATTACTACCTCTTAGGAAAGAAAAGAGGGAGCCGGCTACATACATATATATTAGGAGACAGCCGCTTGGCGTGAAGGCAGCATATTTTTCTTTCTTTCGTTATTTCTTATGGTGAAATACTGATGTGAAGTGCTTCAATTGGCTATGTGCAACTAAGATTTTTTTCTAGTTGATGGTCAACTTAAAGATTTGGTTCTAAACATCTGTGAGATCGAATTATTTTACTTATTTCATTTATTCATTGGTATTTGTACGTTTTCTGATTTAACCTCTTATGATTGTTATATTATTTGAATGTCAAGGTCCCGATATTCGAATTAATCTAATAATCTATTGCCAAATTAAGTGATTGAATCCTTAATTGTTCAATTGATTAATACCAGTGGCGACTAGCATGATTGGTTTCATGTTAGGAAAACGTATGATCTAACTTAAACAAACCCTCGTAACGTGTTTGTTGGTTAGGGTTGGACTTTTCTAATTCTTATTGTAATTGAAAAATAAAATCCTATGGTCGTACTTAAGGTTATTTCTTAGTTAGGGAAATAGTTAACGGTCGTACCTTGACTATCGAAAAAGTAAGGAAAAGTGAAAATATCCCTTGCCGTGTCCTGAAGAAAGTGAAAGATTGTATGACTACTTTGGGCACAGAAACTATATTTAAAACCTGATACGCATTTGGTAAAAAATAGCATGAAATTTGTTAATTATTTCTTCTATGATTTCTTTTACGCTTATTTATTTATGGTATCTATTTGTCTCAAAACATAAGAATCAACATAATTTTCACACTTCTTAGGTTCCGTTTGATAAAACTGAATCTGAATTCTGAAATCTGAATACTGAAACAATTATAATTTGCTGAATTTTAAGCACTGAAAAAAATATATGAATGTTTAAATTTTAATGTTAAACCTATTTATACTGTTTGATAAATATTTATAACTGAATGCTTAATAAGTTTAATTTGACAATTTTGCCCTTATATCCTTTCATTCAAAAAAGAAATAGAATCTATGATTTAATTAGTTTAAAATTGTTAGGTATGAAAATGACAATATTTATTTTTAAATCAAATTAATATAAAATGTGAAATATATTATATGAGGAGTATGGAGAAGATGTGAAAGTCATTAGAAAGGGAGAAAAGTGAAACTAAAAATCGTTAGATAGAGAATATTATATTGTTTAATTAGATAAGAATTTTTAACACAATTAACAAACAAGGGTAGATTTGGTAGATAAGATAAGGTAGCTGAAGTAATTCTATTGATTCTTATCAGAATTAAGCATTCAGTTAGGATTCTTGTGCTGAAAAAAATACACACAGGTTCAGCACTGCTTAACAAATTCAGCAAATAG